TCACGTTATCTGTGCCAACATTATGTGAGGCACCGAATAGTATCTGAAGACACTAATTCTACTTATTAATTTTGCTTCCTTAGGTGTAAACTCTGTGGAATGGTATTTTACATGTATTGTCTATTTTCCACAGTTTGGCTTTCGTCACATTTATTATTATATCTGATTGCACCTTTATAGTTAAGATTTCATATTAGGTTCTTCATTTTATAAGTTTTAATAGCCTGTTTGGTGTATTGGTAGAGTGTAGTATTGGTAACTAAACCTTGGGATCTTACTTGCTTTCAGGGATCATGGAGGAGAGTGGGCTCTGCCCATGGCAGAGTAATGGACAATGAGCCCGGTGACTAGGTCCCCACCATCCCTCCAGGGCATCATTGCTTCTCAGGATGCCACTTTGCCTCTTCAAATCCAGCATCCCCACTACTTGGAGGCAGAGCCCTCCATCCTTTGGGGATAGGGGAAGACAACAGGCAAGGAGACATGCTGTGATGAACCCCTTTTCCTCGTGCTCCAGGAGTCACCTGCCAGTGTCATCTGGAGTCCTTCTAGCCATGGGCATTTGCACGATCTATTCAGCAAGTGCACTTAACTGTTCTCCCACTTTGCTGCAGCATCTCCTTCGGGTATAGTGGGCTATGTGGTTTCAGCCTTCCCTCTGACCCGTCTGCTTCCTTCTTGCAGGATTCTCCACTATCTCTGGATCAAGGAGAGTTTTCCTTGTTTCCAGTACATTTTATCAGTAAGAACGTCTCCCAATTATTTCTACTGTTTGGGGATAAAAGGGGCAAGGTGCTTGTTTCTGGAAAATGAGCTGCTTGAAGTGGGAGTGTTCATTTCTTTGGTCAGGTATGTGTGTCAGCACTGCTGTGAGAGAGAAATCTGGAGGCATTAGCATCCAGGTGAACGCTCAGCAAACCACCTTCCCTAGTGAGTGGCGCTTGGCCATCCATGGGAACCATCAGTATTTTCCGAGGCACCCAAGAGTTCTTTTCTACATCGTTTTGGACATCAGACCCATGAAATGGAGGAGGTAGAGGAAGAGAAGAAAGGGGGAAGAGGAGAATCATTATTAAGAGTATAACAGTGAAAACAACCCCACCCTCCCTCAAGGATTATCCCCTAGCAAATAGCACTTGGTTGGGCCAGCTCACCTCCTTGTAGGAACTTCATGGGGTAGACGATGGCGTGGTATCTGTCTATGCTGAGGGACACCAGGACGTAGGTAGAGGCATAGAGCATCACGACCTGGAGACAGAAATGCGAGGTGTGTGACTTTGAGAGGTGAGGGAAGGTACATACTGAAAAGACAAGCATTTTGTGCTGTTTAGAAACCTGGGCAGTGAACCAAGAGAGGGCTGAGGTTTGGGTTGGGGAGAGCAATGACTGACTCCCTGTTCAAGGAAGCACTTTGTTGTTCTTGGTGCTGAAATTTGCATTGCTGGTGGTGACAGTTGAAAATGCTTCCAGCTCTCACTTGCTCACTCATTCACTGGGCTTCTTGGAGACTCCACATTTCAGGATCAGTACCTCTTTCGACATTTGCATGGTGCATTTGTGATTGACTTTAAAAGCTAAACTAATTTTCTCTGCCACAACCGACATTCCAGAATAATTAGAAGCAAAAGTTCATTTGCGTTTTATCAGTGTGAGATGTTGAGAGATGGTGATAGAAGGGTTTTGGTTTCAGGGGGCTGATATGCTGGTTTGAATCATTTATCATCATCTGAGCTGACATTGTCAGAGCGCCCCTTCCTCATACATTTCTCTAGCAGAGCTGCTCTCTAGGGTAGGTTCTTGGGTCTTCTCTTCTTCCTTCCCACGTTTTTATTAACCTTACTGTGCCCTTTAATTATCCGGTGTGCAGTGTTATTTGCATACTTTGCAGAGACGGAAATTAGGATATAAGAAGTTAATACCTCTTATGTGAAGAGCATACTCAAAAAGTAATTAAATGCAATATCTGAAAGAATGATCAAACTGCAAATTTTTCAGCTAATGTGGAGCCTCATTTCTAGTAAGAGTCCAGTCATATCTCTGCTTCATAACCTTTGGGCCAAGTCCACAGCATGTACAAAATAACCTTGAAGAATGAAGTCTAAGGGTGAGAGTCTGAATTTCTTCTAAAATGAAATGGAAATAACATGACTTTGGCGATAACCTTTGTCTGAATCTATACCTTTTTTCCCCTCTTTCCCTGGCTCAGACAAATAACAATCAACTACATTGTTGTTCTTTATTATTTTTATTTCTATAACACTACCACAAATGCATCCCAGCACTAACATGGTGGAAGGTGCCACAGAGAGGGGGTTCTGAGGCTTGACCGGAGACTGAAAGCTCCATGAAGAATATAAGAAGAATTCTCCTCTTGCTCAAAAGGTGATATGTGGACAGAAATAAAAATGATGGCCAAATTTACCCCCTCCCCCAAATCAGACAACTGTCTCTGTAGAGGAAACTGGGGTTTCCACATGTGACTCATGACTTCGTACTTGTTAAGGCTGGTCACACACAGTTAAGTAGGTGGCATCAGTGAGGAATGGGAAAGAGCTGCCAAGGGCAAAACCCCATGGGGTGGAAGGTCATGGTGAGAAGGTCATAAGAAGCTTGGCCACCTGTGGCTGTATGGAGTGAGGTGACAGATACAAGCTCAGAATCTGGAGCAGGAAGCAAGTTCACAATAGCGCGTGCCTGGAGAAGCAGGCAATGCTAATAGGAAGAGATCTACTCTGAGACACAGCCAAAAACAGTATTTCATTTCAGGGGTCTTTACACATCTAGGCAGGGGAAAAAAAATCTTAAAGGTTACGTAAAAGAAATGCATCTCACATTGTCATGCTTTTCTCCATGAGAATGAATGCCAGAAAATAGTATAAAAACATGTTCAGAGTTTTGAAAGAAAAATTATGGTCCAAGAGCTTTGTGAATATAATTTTCATGCCAAGGCACAGACTAATTTCCTTAGATATATCAGAAGGAAGAAAATATAACATCGCATAGTCATCATGAAAAATCTTTCTAGAGGAAATATTTCTGCTCATTGAGAATTGTTTCAAAATTAAGAACTCAAGAAGAGGGAATGGGATTGAATAATAGCAGCTATGGTAAGCAATTAGTCATAAACACCCAAAATGTTTACACAATAATTATGGATAGTTATGAAACATTTCAGGAAAAAAATCTGGGGAGTTGAGTGAGAGGAGAGAGTAGAAGGTAAGAAATCATGTTAAATTCCCAGTTAGACATTTTAGACATCTCTTTTGTTTTTTACTGTGATAGAGACATATTAAATTTAAAATTAAAGATAAGCTATAATAGTGTGGAATAAAAATGGAGGAAAAAGAACTTATTAATTTCCTCTGGCTACTCTAACAAATTACCACAAACTTTGTGGCTAAACCAACGTAAATGTATTCTGTTATATTTCTGAAGAACGGAAGTCCGACGTCAGTTAAACAGGGTCAAAATCAAGGTGTTAGCATGACCACTCTCCCTCCAGAGACTGTAGAAGAGAATCAATGCCCCGCCCCTTCCAGCTTCAGGTGGCTGCCAGCATTCCCATCTCTGAGTCTGTGGTAACAACGCCTCTTCTGTCTTTGTCAAGCCTCCCTCTGCCTCCCTCTTATAAGGATACATTTAAACCCATCAGAATAATGCAGAACAACCTCCCATTTCAAGGTCCTTCACTTAATCACATCTGCAGAGTCCCTTTTTGGGACCATATAAGGTAACATGCATAGGTTTCAGAGATTAGGACTTAGATATCTTTTAGGGGCCCTTTTTTCAGCCTACCACAATTAATAATCAAGTAAAAAGGAAAAAAAAACAGGTACATAGGAAAAAAATTTGACACAGAAACAATGGAATAAGGTGACTGAAATACCACCAAACACTATTTGTTATAATAAATATGAATGGCTTAAGCTCCTTCACTGAAACAAAGATTATTTACAAAACATTCCCCAAATTCAACTGTTTAGAGATCTCTAAAACCAAATGATTATAAAAGTTTAAAAATGAAGTGATGACCAAAAAGTATATCAAACAACTAAAAAAAAAAAAAAGACATTCATTACAGCACTATAATGAGACAAGTTAAATTCAAAGCAAATAGCACTACATGGGCTGAAGGGATTATTTGTATTAATAGAAGATACCATACATAATGGCAAGAGAATATTAATAAATGTATATGAAACAAGTCACATAACACTAAATATATACAACTAAGATGTTCAGAGTTTTATAGAGGAAAAACACAATAATACATAGATAGAACAAAATTAAACAAACTTTCAAATAATACATATTAGTGTAAAATAGATAGGTACCATTTCAAAAATTGGTCATAAAGTAAGCCACCAAGGAGAAAAAAAAAACCCTCAATCGATTCCAAAACGTGAAACTTAGGCAATTCACATATTTGAAACAAGCAATAAATAAAAGCTGAAATTAGTGTCATGTTGCTTTTTTAATACCACTTGGAAATTGAAACACCCTTATAATTAACTTGAGTCAAGAAGGAAATCAAAGTACAATTATAGTCAATTCATAAATGTCAACAATGAAAAGTCTACACATCAACAACATATGGGATACCATTTGGAAAACAGATGGCAGCTTGAGGACATATGTTTGAATTCACACTACCCCACCCCTCAATTCTGACAAAAATGACCTAGGAAATATGAAACTAAAGACAATTTTTGCAGAGAAGTGAGACTTAAATGAGGGAAACTTAGAGACATTTTATTTTTATAAAAATGCCAGGTTGGATTCATTTAAAGGAGGATTCTTGAACTGACTTTAAAAAAATCAATGTACTTTTTTTTTAAGAACAATTTTAGATTTACAGAAAAAAAAATTGAGCAGGTAATACAGAGAGTCCCATCTCCCCCTGCTCCCCACAACACACACACACGCACACACACACACACACACACACACACATTTTCCTTTATTACTGACACTACATGAGTGTGGTCCATTTGTTAAAAGTGATGAATCAATATTGACACATTATTTTTAACTAGAGTCCATGGTTTCTATTAAGGTTCACTCTTTGTGTTGTATAGTTTCATCAGGTTTGACAAATGCATAATGTCATGTACCCACCATTACAGTATCAAACAGAAGTTTCACTGCCCTAAAAATCCCCTGTGCTTTACTTATTCAATCCCTCTAAATCCCTGGCAACCACTAATCTATTCTACTCTCTCTCTAGTTTTGCCTTTTCCAGAATGTTGTATGTTGTAATCACACAGTATGCAGCCTTTTCAGACTGACTTCTTTCACTTAGCAATGTGCATTTAAGATTCCTCCATGCCTTTTCACGTCTTGATAGCTCATTTCTTATTATTCCATTATAGGGATATGCAATAGTTTACCCTCTATGTCTTTTTTGTGGTTTGATAGCTCATTTTGTTTTGTCGCCGAGTAATATTTCATCATAGGGATCTACCAAAGTTTATTCATTCAGCTTTTGAGGGTCATCTTGCTTCTAGTTTTCAGCAATTATGAATAAAACTGCTATAAAGATTCTTGAGCAGGTTTTTGTGTGGACATACGTTGTCAGCTCAATTGGGTAAATACCGAGAGCACAATTGCTAGAGTGAGCGTATATTTAATTTTATAAGAAACTGGCAAACTACCTTCCAAAGTGGCTGTACCATCTGAATTTCCACAAGGAATGAATCAGAATTCCTGTTGTTGCACATTCACACCAGCATTTTATATCATTGTTTGTTGTTTTTGTTTGTTTGTTTTGGTTTTCGGCCATTGTAATAGCTATGTAGTGGTGTCTTGTTTTAATTTGCGATTCCCTAATGTCATGCAATACTGAGCCTCTTTCCATGCATTTGTTTGTCGTCTGTATATCTTCTTTAGCGAAGTGTGTTCAGATCGTTTGCTCATTTTTAGGTGGGTTGTTTGTTTTCTTATTGTTGAGTCTTGAGTTCCTTGTATATTTTGGGTACAAATCTTTTATCGACAATGTGATTTGCAAACATTTTTGTTAGCCTGTGTCGTATCTTCTCCTTGTCTTACAGTCTTTCACAGAAAAGTTTAAAATTTTCATGAAATCCAACTTCTCAATTGTTTCTTTCATGGATTATGCTTTCAGTGTTGTATCTGAAAGTCATTGAGAAACCCAAACTCCCTATATTTTCTACTATGTTATCTTCTAGTAGTTTCATAGTATTGCACATTTCATTCAGGTCTATGATCCATATTGAGTTAGTTTTTGTGAAG